TGCAGCTGAATAATTGAAGTGATAGTATTGTAATTGTGTGTATGAATGTACTGACACCACTTAACTAAAGATACATTACAATTACATGTAAGTTTCAAACTTTGGACAATGTCTGGTTAATAAAAATAGTATGAYTTGATGAGTGTATTTAACTATAAGGTTAATTATATCTTTAATCTCACTTATCACTAACATTAATATTTATTTGATCTCATTTTTATGGTTGACCACAATCACTTACCGTGAGTCGTCGATTTTATGTTCTCAACGCTTTGTAGATTCGTCCTCGGTACAAAGGCCAATGGATTCAACCTCTTTTATCTTTATCAAGTCTTTTATCAATCGTATCTTTATGAGCTAAAGCCTATCATTCGTTCAAATGAATCCGACCTTCGCATTGAATCTGTCAAGAAGCATTTGCTCTTCTTCTTGACCCTCTTTCTCTTCTACTACTAGCCATTTGTCTCAAGGAATGATTTGGACCACTTAAAATTTACGAAGGGAGCAAAAATCTTGTTTTTTAAAGCTAAAATTTCWATCGCTGATACATGTAAATATACAGTTTATAAAMGATGTCAWTAGTATGCGTTGGACCTATGACGTCATAGGGAAGTCCGCTGTACACATTTACTCTTTGGCCGTGAGTAGAGAAAATAATGGCGGATAAAAACTAAATCGTAAATATGTCATACTTCCCATTGAAATATCGAAATGAAACTTTACAGAGTGATTTCTTGTTTATTTATCTTTATGTTGAGAAAGATCAGCGGCTAAGACGTAATATTACAGGTTTTTCAAAAACGGCCATACATTACGTCCAAGTACCCCTTTAAGGAGTTGACAATGAAGGAAATCAAAACTAGAAGCCCACACTAAAGGATGCTCAGCGTGGTTTTCGGAAAGGCCGCTCCACGATCTTAGCAAAGTTCACACAAAACCTCAAATGATTCAAATCATTCAAATATCAGTGCCCACTTAAAACTGACATACAAACTGACTGTATGAATCCTGAGATGAAGTCAAATGCATCTGAAGTCAACACCGAAACTCAAAACTTGTCAAAGAGATCAATTAATCGTTGTTGGRAAGAAAGCCGCCGCCATATTGGAGTTTACCTCGCAATAGGCTCAAAAAAATTGTTAATTTTCTTATCAGTATTTTAAAACCTGTTAAAACATTCCTTGCAGTGAGTATTTGGTTTCTTATATTTATACTTATGATACACGGTACTTATAAAGACGCATTCGGCAAGGTTTTTGTCATGTTTATTGTTCAAGTTTCCAACTACTCAAGGCCTGACTGAAAGCTTAACATCTTTCCCCATCTTTGCACGTGCATGGGTTTTCAGTGACAAAGAAAAATGTTGTACAAATGTTGTACAGTGTACAATGTTGACCCTAGTGTTCAGGCACCATACAGACAAAGAAACATGATATTAAGGATGTTTTATGCTGGTCAAAATGTGTTGCAAAAAGTCTATGTAAGCGCTCTCTGAGCGTCTAGTTCAAATCAAAAATATTGCAATTCAAATAAAATACATTTGAATGAAAATTGTTAAGGCCCAATATGGAAATGTGAAAGTAGAGAATTTGGATTGATATGTCCAGGCAGAAATTCAGATTGTTTTGTATGGGCGTGTCTAGTCCTAACTCCCAACACCTTATCCTGTTATACATTTTTAACTTCATATTTTATTAAATCCAAACAAATGAATTCATTCACAAGTAAAGCATGTGAAATAAACAATTCTGTACCATCACAACATGTGGTATGCTCTATATTTTGCACAAATCATGGCCAGGTGAGTCACATCTCAAATTCCTAACAAGATCAACAAAATCACCCTCAAAACTTGTCAAATCTCATGTTGCTTTGGGTATTTGCTACGTTTTGAGTTTCCAAAGCCCAAAAAGTCAAGTTTATTCGAAAAGTATGGGCAAAAAGCGGTCAAAACCGTACGAGATCTCGAAAGAGATCTCACTAAACTTGCAAAAGTTAACTGTGATCTTCAATTTCTAACTACCTGCATGCGAGAACGTCTTTGTTTACATTGCCGAAGCTCAGCATTAATGTTGCAAGGAACATCCGTGTGAAGATCTCCCGGATACTGCTACAACATGAAATCAACCACAAGCACAAGCTTAGGAAGATCTTAAAGGCTAAATGCGATAAATTACAGCAGGAAGTTCGACAAGAAATTAGCATGTTGTTCAAAGTTGTCAATACGAAGATCTATAAGCAATCACATGTCTGTATGGTAATCAAACATCTAAGTATTTTGAGCTGGATCCGCCATCATTAGAAGACTACTTTAGATAAACTGCATGAAAAGTAAACATTAAAAGAAAACAGTGACAACTTGAAATCAATTGTGTTCTATTTTTTTAAATGAGATTGTGCAAAGCTTGTAAATTATTATCATGTTTAAAAATGCAACAGTCATTAACATTGTCATATAGAGAGAATTGAAAAGTTGCTATCCCTGATCACTGGCAAACCAAATATATGTAAAAATATGTGCTGCTTTTTATTGTATGCCCCAAGTTAGTGCGTTGGGATGAATGATGCATAAAGTACATAAATGTTGTAAATAATGTAATTTCTTCAATAATAATAAATAAATGAATGATTTTTTTTCTTTTGGGTAACAATGCTCTATTTTTTTTCTAAGTTTTTCTATTAAACCCATCAAAGCAGTGCTTTGCTGTACCATCATCATCTGCAACTGTTGTTGTTGTTGTTGTTGCTGCTGCTGCTGTTGTTGCTGTTGCTGCTTAAACTGATGCTGCTGCTTCATGAGCATGTTCACAAGAGAATCCTCGGCAGATTTATCATCTTTTCTCAATGCAATTTCTTTTTCTTTCATTTCCATCTGCATTTCCATCTTTTCTCTCAAATACTTCACTGTTTCCGATCCTGTCTTTCTTTTTTTCTTGTTGTTTTGGACTAAAACAACTTCATTGTCATCATCATCAGCATCGCTAATGGCCCGCTTCCTTTTTTGGGTCTCACTAAACTTCTCCATGGACCTCTGCCTCATTTCAACTGCTGCCTCATCTTTCTTCTTCTTTGCATCACCTGGACATAAATGTATGAATTATATCTTTTATGAGTACATACATCTCTAGTCCATGTATCTTCCTCACATAAGTAGCTATAAGTACATATCACTGCATTGAGTGAAACAAAGTCATCAAATTAAGTTTTTATAGAAGAGACCATGTTTTAGATAACCTAAGTGGTAAATGTTGACATTCTCTTTGGGAAAAATCAAAGTTGTAAATGAAGCACTCTTGAAGGATTTTTTAAATAGATTTTTGTGACTCTTCTAAAAGTTCTCTCGTCTGTTTATCTTGTTTTGATAATACCCTGCAGATATTGAAATATGATTCACAAATATACCTTTTTCTTTTCTTTGCTCCTCGTAGAAATCCTGTTTTTCTATTATCTCTTCGATTAGCTGGTCCAATTGACTAATAGTTGGCGAAATTCCTGAAGCTTTCTTTTCCCCATTCATCCTTTTTCGATACTTATCGCACAACAATGTAAATCGATCTTGTACAGATCTTTTTGACAGCGAATCTTTAAATTTGGGCCAGTCAAGTGACTTCAAATTGTTAGCCACATTCTGCCAAAGTACTGCCCGTTGTGTTGTCTTCTTTGTAGCTGTGAAGGTATTAGTTGATAGCACTTCAATGCACAACTTTTCGTCGTGAGTCTTTGTCCACTCCATTGGCGTTTTTCTAAAACGATCAAAATATGATAAAGTTTAGCAAAAAAAAAAGATAACAAGTCACAATTATAGCTATTAGAGTTGAAAACATATCTTAATTTATTTTTTCACGTACATTGTAAAACTTTTAAATTAAATAACTTATGCTGTTGTTGTTATCAAACAAGCAACCTACCCGTAATCCGTCTTTGTTTCGTTCGCAGTTTCACTTGAAGTACTTGACATTTTATGGCGTATTTTGATGTTCTCTACGAATTAAATGTGCTTTCGTTTAACTATATGGTCATTAAATGAAAATGTTAGATGAAAAAAATATTTGCAGTGAATTAAACAAAGAAAGAAACACTCACCCTTCTCCAAGTTTTCTGGCCTCTGCACGGACGTCAAAGCTGGTGTTTTCACGTCGGTGACCCGGCGTCACACACWTCATGACGTCACAAATCGTGTAAATATACTTCCGGTTGACGTTCGTGAATCAAAAACGTCTGTTGCTTAAGGTCTCTAATTGCGGGATTCGCGGTTTGAGCCCTCATGAAGCCGTAAAGTTTTTTTACTTCATTTCTTGAGACTTTTCAAGACTTTCTCTTTCTTTTCTTTTTCCTTTAATTAGTATAAACAGTTTTATGAATAAAGATTGATTTTTAAAGCCATTCACCCCCCTCGTAAATTGCCAACCGGCTCTAAACTACGGCCTCTAAGATAACTTTAACTTCATCCAATGGACATCAAACTCCGTACAGATTTCGATCAATACCTATTCTCACTTGCCACCAATGTTCAGCCTCCAGTGAAAAATATTTTTCGAGATATTTTAGAAGATCAAAATACTCCAGCCTACCGATGCACGGTACTTTAAACTCGTACACTAACGGAAATGCCTCACTCTGGGGTGTCCATAAATCAGCCGAGGCGGGGAGAGGACGTGACAAGTGCCTTGATGTCGAGCGTCAAAGGCTTCAACTGTACCCCAGAACCCTAGGGGACAGGATAAGAACTGTTTATAAATTTCAAATTTTCCGTTACTGTAAGTAGGTGTTTCGTTGCGAGTATATATATTTCTTGGTCCGATGTAATAAGATGGAACCACCGCGCAAGCAATCGAAGCTGAGTCCCGTGCTAGAATGGCAGATGTAGTAGGTTAGGTATATTTTAGTTTTTAAGCAAAGAGGTTCGGAAACAAAGAATTAGAGACTCTGCTCGCTGTCAAAAAGATGTTTTAAAACAGTCCAATTCAAATTTTAGTTATAAGCTAAATATCAATAATAACAGTGTTGATACTTCAAAACGTTCAAGCTTAAGTTTAGAATTTTATAAGTATAAGGATTGGCGAATCGCTGCCAGTAAACGGTTTAAATACTTATCACTTTTGAATCAACAGTTAGTCTGGAAATATCCGTACTTGCAATATATTTTTATTTCGCTTTTTTTTTAAAAGGAATCTTGAATTTTATTATGATGTAAGCTTAGTTAATTTCAGTTTGAATATTTCAGGTTCGTAGACAATTACGAATTCAAACAATGCGGAGACCGATGTAACGGCTATCATCAAACACGCCTCAAACGTAAAGGAAAACTTCAGAAGCGATTTAAATTCTATCACAATTGGGAAAATAATTAAAACTACTTATGGCGACAGAGTTTCTGTTTCTCAAAGAGGCATAAGAGGAAACCGATTTAGAATATACAAGAATTTAAAGCTCAAAGACATGGATAGAGAATCTAGTTCAACCCAATCAACTGCAGCTGATTTCATCACGGAGCTCTCCAACATGCCACTAGAAAGTAACTGGAATTTAGTGAGGGACAATTCAAATAGCGCCAGCCTTATTTACCACTCAAAACATGAATATAATGGCCATCGAATCACATCAATCTAAAGAAACTGGTGAAATTTCTTACGAGGTAAAAAGTGGAGGACGTTCTTTACTAATAGATCAGGGGTTTTCCCCTTTATTGAGTAACAAAAGCAATGCCGAGAGTGTGAAGTGCCTAATGGACTTCATCCAAACAGCCAAACCATGCGAAGGTTTCGTAGAGATGGACTTCATTTCTCCAGGCTCCATACCTCATGTAAAAGGCGCGTTTAAGGATTTATCGTTTGGCACAGGCATGGAGCAAACAAGAGTCTTTGCCAAAAATTGTTTAATCTTTTGCCCATCGTCGCATAACACAAAGTTTTGTAAAAATTGTTAAATTCTTTCAAGACAGCAAGAGAAAAAAGAAAAGAGAGATTTGACTCCAAAACCCGAAACTAACAATAAATACTTAAGCAATCATCAATGAATCGAAAAACTGAAAAAGGAAAAAAAAGGAAATCAACTGAAGTCAGAGAAAATTACTGGAGAGAAAAATATGAAATGCAATTGATTGAAATGGACGAAAAAGACAACACTGATTTAGAAGACACTTTTAATAATGTTGGTGGAGATCATGTTCCCCCTGACATGAAATACATGTGGGAACAGCAACTGAAAAACAATAAATGTAGCTCTTCTAAAATCTACAGATGGCACCCCAAGTAAGGAATATTTAAATTTGATAATTAAATAAATTGTATTTTGTTATGTTTATATTTTAATATTTAATTTATTTTAATTTCATTGTAATATTAAAATATTAAATATTGTGTTGGAGCATTATGTTGTGGTTTAATACAGAAATTGTTTACTATGATGTTTTAAATGTACCCAAAACAGTTAGACTGAAATTTATTGCTTTTGAGAAAGTGTTTTGGGTACTGGTATGCTACTAAATACCTTGTGTTTTTAATTCGGTGATGAAAAGTGCTTCTGTATGTGTCTAACTAACTGTAATAATTATACTATCATTAATATAAAGGTAGGTGAGATAGTTAGAGAGATAGAAGACTTTAGGGAGATAGGTGAAGAGCTGCAGCCAAAACCAAAGAAGAGAAAGACATACAACTGTGGTCATACCAACACAGCTGAGTGATGATGGGGTCAATCTAAACATTAGCAAGGCAACAGCAAGAAGAAGAAGAGGAGAACTTTTCAAGGCAGCCAGGATCATACATGGAGTTACCAACAGCAATAAAGAACCTGCTGAGCTGGGACTACTGGATGCAGTAACCACTAACTGCACAGTCAAGAATGCTGAAATAATGTTTTCAAAGAGCAAAAAGATCAAGAACACCGTTTTTCCAAGGATCCACAAGAGAAGTGTCAAGAAATATGAAAAGTCGACGCGAAATATGATTAAAAGTGTAGCGAATTATTATGGTGGGGGGGTGTCTGGGAAAATTAAGTATATGTCAAATCGTAAAACTGGGGCATATGAATTGGGTAACAAGACTAAGCGTATTCTAATAGAAAATTGTCTTGTAGCCAGATTAGTGCCATATAACAAGTTAATCCCTACATTAAGGGTATTGACATTGGTCAGCTTTACAGTGTTAGGGAGTGTCTGTGTCAGGGGTTGGATGATCATGAGAAGGTGAATGGTGTTTTTCTATGTTTGAAGGAGATGCTGTTGAGGTTGGCTGTATTTTATTTGAGTCAAACTGTGCATAAACTTATTTGGTTTAAACGTGTTACTAATACTTTTTATGTATCCCTAGGTGGAGATGGTGCACCATTTGGCAAATATGATGTTGCTTGTTCATGGCTAGTTAGTTTTCTGAATATAGGCAGAGGTGTTCTCAGTAGTAACGAGAACTTTTTGTTGTTTGGTGCAAACTGCACAGAAAATTCAGTACCTGTTAAAGGGTTTTTAAAGAAGCTCTACGCTGAAATCATTGAAATTGAAAATTCATCTTATACAGTCACTGTTAATAACTCACCTGTTGTTGTTAAGTTTTATTTTTCAGAATTGCCCAATGATATGAAAATGCTTACTTTTTTAGCTGGTGAACTGCCAAATAGTGCAAACTGTTTCTCAACATTTGCTAATGTTAACTATGATGACTACAAATGCTCTTCAGGTAGTTTTTCCCTAGTTTCAAGTTCAGCAAAATGGCATCCTTGGGATTTCCAGCATAGGAAAGATGTTGCAAAGGAGGTGGAAGCTTTTAAAGTAAAACAGGAGAAGTCTAAGAAAAAATTGGCACCTAAAACTCTTCGTCTGCAGATAACTACATACATTGCCAACCGAAACAGTCGCCAGGAATTTTCTCCTCCAATAAGAAAATTAATTGACCGTGCCCATGTAGAGCCACTGCACCTAAAGAATAATGCATGTGCCCATGCACACAAGCTTCTGTTAAATGAAGTACTTCACATTTCTCTTCTACCTCCATCAATTCAATCTTTCTCTATGGTTCCTCAGTATTCTCCCTTCCACAAATACATCATGTGTTTGGGTGGAAGTTGCCAATTAAGTCGCCTGTCAGATTGTTCACTGGTTTGACGAGACGAAAGCTCTGGGAAATGGTTTTGACTACCGCTTCACTGGCAAAGATTCAAGATTGTTTCTGCACAACTTCATGTATCTAATTTCATGTATTCTTCCTTCAGTGACAGCTACTGATAAGCATTTTATCACACTTCACATCATTGCTTATCTATGTCTTTGTCTGAGAGATTGTGTTTCTCTCTTTAATAGGCATGAGATTTCTATTG